AAATCGTTATTATCCGGTTTCACTTCATTTTAATTCTAGTGGACATAATATTACAGATATGTCTATTTCTGGTGTATGTGTTGTCAATGGCGACGAAAATCAGCTCAGGCGTGTCGAGGAGGAAACTATATTCCGCCTTGGAACTAAAGAACCCCATGGTATTAACAAACAGTTCAACTCATTTGTTGAGCTCACTACCTAAGGCGCGTTATTTGTTCTATTGTGGAATTTTTTGTGATTCTAACTTATAGTTCATGCGCGTTCTTACGTTCCTATGTTCTACCTGTACGTTATCACACTTGCTTCTATGCTATCGATAAAGAGCCATTGCTCGAAACGTCTAGCTATTTTTAATAGTTATTTAGGACTACGATTACCTAATATTATCTTCAATATATCTTACGCCCTCAGGCTGTTCGATATGAGATTCGTACACAACGCTTGTAAAATATATTGTTTTAATTCGTAAACGCGCTGCGCGACGATCAACGTCCTTTAGCATATGGGAATAACACGAATTACAGTAGTCGAATAAACCGCGCAACATTCTTTCTCGGCTACATCCATATTACAGGGCCAAGTGCCGTGTTCTTGCATGCCATGTACGAAGTTATCTACCAAGTTCACATTCCTAAAATTCTAGGCAGTTTCAGTTTACAGACTTGTCCTTCGCAGGGTACGACATGGTGTGCCACGTGATTGCAAACATTACCTATATTGGCTTTCGAGTTTTGCTTGCTTTCAAAAAGGATCTACCGTCATTTTTGTATTGATTTATTCATTTATTACTCTTTTAAATTAGGGGCTCGCCAATGGAAGTACACATTGATAACTCTCGAAACGATATGACCGCGAAATCATCACAAGGAGGCTACATTGCAGTAAATCGGCCAATGACTGAAGTAGCCCATCAAAGACTTATGGGTAGCAGGCGTTGCCAAATCGCTCGGATAGCCAATGAAAGCGATTTCATGTAACGGTTCAATTTATATATAATATAATATATAAACTAACATACAGGTGTGCCAATTACAAGACCGAGTTAAATAATGGTTCATCCCTTGCCATTCCATCCATGGCGTACAGCTTCCCACAAATCAAGAACACAATACGAAACTGTCACAGTCATACACATTGGATTCTCTTGCGTGTTACAGTGACGTATTTTGAGAAACTTGAAATTGTCCTAATATTTTTATCGATATTCTTTAAACAATTACATAGAGCACAATTGCATTTTTTGACATTTTTTAAAACTCTATTTAGGACAATAGGTGTCCCATTATTCATAATGTATGATTTTTTCAGCCTATGTCACCAGTCTACAATTTGCGATATATCGTGATATCTCCTCCATAGTAACATATAGTAAACGCGTTATAATTCTGTCAAAAAGGTCACTATCCATAATACAAACATAATATTTTCGCAAATTAAGCTGGTGACCCCAAACTGTGTTTTGTCCGTCAATATCTTTATATTGCCTGGAAGTACAATTTATTGGAAAATGAATAAATTCTGGGTATTTTCATTTATGAGTAGGCATCTACCTAAAGCCGACCGCTAATGACACTCGACCGTATTCTGAAAGAAGGGCCTGGCTTTGGTGAACACTAACATTATAATCACATATCACTGGGAAAATTAAATTATTTAAGGGTGCCAACGCGAGAGTGTTCCCGCTAAGCCGGAGTTCGTTCTTTTCATTCAAAATCATTGACCCGTTCAATCATGATATAGTGTAAGCCCCTTATAAAAAAAAAACACAGTACCGCCAACACAAACATAGTGGAAGACCGGCGAGAGGGGTGTGGCACATGGCTGGTAAAGAAAGGGCTTATGAGTGTTCTGCGAAATTATAAACAAAAAAATTAAATTTTCACTGATCTTTAAATAGCAATTTTTCCTTGATAAAATTTTTGGAAAAATCAAAACGCCTTTTTTTTAGAGAAACCTCAGAAAGATATGCTGTCGTCCCGTTGTATTCGAACGTCTCCGTGTATTTTATGTGTTTGGTTCTAAAACAAAAAAGGTATTCCACTGCCAAAAAACTTTCTTGTTATCTTGACCTATGAGTAGCTACGAGTCTTATACAAAAAATCAATTTGGGAGTTTTCGAGGACTTGCGCACTTTTATATTATACCTTTTCCACGAACTTCATACACATGCGTATATCCATCAACCATCCAAGTGAACAAGTATGGCCAACAGCATGGATGCCCGGCCATGCTAATAGTGAACAAGTATGGCCGACAGCATGGATGCCCGGCCATGCTAATAGTGAAACTGGAAATTGGTAAAGAATGAATACACATTTTAAATATAAATATAATCTACTTATCCAAATTTAATTTACCATGATGGACATATAATACATGCGTTGGGTATCTACATTTTCAACAATTAACACCGAAACAATTCATTATTTACAGGGACCAGTCCTAGCGTGTATTTGTATTTTTAGTTTTTTTTAACTACCTCTCTCTGTGGAATAATGTATAAGTGTAATAAACTCTTTGTTCTGTTAGCAGAAGGCGCGTAGAGGTACCAGATTCGACCCAAAAGGATACACATTCATTACAGCATGGAAGGTACTATATGATTACAGATAGTCCAGCTTTATGCTCCCAATCAACCAGCCGAGGTAACCCCTCGCTGCACCGTTCTCTCGTTCTCTATTCCTCTCTGCAAAAGTTTACAAACTCTATATTCAGTGTGAAATCTCTAAGGCGTGGCAGAGTAACCAAGCGACCAGCCAATCGCTGCAGTCGTTGGCACGATCACGTGATTGCCAGGGATGTGTCTCACGATTAAAGCCTTGTGAAGTCGCCAATACTAAATACAATAAATAAACAATATATTTATCAAATTCCTGAAATCTATAATTGCGTTCACGCACAGCTCCATAGCACGGGCTAAGATGTCAAATTCCTTAGTCCGTGCTAAGAAAACGTGCGTGAACGCTTAGCACGGGCTAAGGAATGCTAAATAATAGTCTAACGGCTTGTGAACCGAATGTGCGAACGTAAAGTCGCTATCATAACAGGACTTTCATAGCATAAACTAAATAATTTCGAATCTATGTGCATAAAGTCCCGTGGCGATATTTATTTATTCACCCTATGTCATTAGTCAACAATTGAAATTACAGGCAAATATACGAACATATGAACATGATCAATTATATTCGAACTCACAACTCGACAAATGCGCCTCACGACTGAAAATTAAATTTGAGATATGTCATATTATCTCCATCTTAGGAACCTATAGTAAAATGGTTGCCGTCCACTAAAATACAACCTTCATATATTCTCGTATACTAGTATTATATTAACGAAAGTGAAATTTTCTAAACCAGTGTCAACAGTATAGTTATTTTCATCTATTGTTATTTTTGTTTTGTTTCTTAGAATAGTATTTGACTATGTTCTATTAAAAATGAATAATATCAATAAAGTTATTATTATGGGCTGGCGACCACAAACTTGTGTAAGCCAATATCCTTATTATCATAATAGAACGATAGAACCATAGACCTTAGAAAACAAGGTCTATGATAGAACTAACTGAAACAAGTCTGATATTGATGGGTTTCGTCGATAATGTAACAAATGCACTATCATTTTGACGTCTTGACGACAATTAAACGAACATATTCGAAAATATAAACCACCCGGGCGGGTACTTCCATTTGACGATAAACGTCACTTGGGAGCGCCCTCAACGTCTACCTTTTAGGCCAAGTTTTAAAATTGGCTGCGAAACACTCCCACCCTAAATCAAAGCATACTTCCATGATCGACGTAAGTACCCACCTCCCCGACACACAATTTAGCCCGTTGGTACCCCGCTGTCTTCATACAACCAAGATAAATACAAGACATGGGCTTACGAGCATGCCCTGTAGCAGACAATGCATCGTTATACATTTTGTATAACAAGTTACGACACAGACCACTGAGCTAGGATGTAATAAAAGTACCTCTTTGATAGAGGGATTGTTGTAAAATAAAGACTGGCTACGGAGGAAGGTCGGACACTACTATTAAGGCTTTCCTTTTTTGACACTATGGAATTCCTTCGTTTTTATGGAAGAAAAGTACTAGTATTTTACCATGTAACATATTTAAAGTTATTGTTCACACATACGCTACACATATTTAATATTTTCGTGTCATTGGTAATTATGAAAATTATTATTGGTGTGCATATGATTACATTTGTTATGAAATATTCTTGATATGTTTCTAAATTGTTAAAGGTGTTTTCAAATTTCAAAATGTCGAAAACGGAATGTATGTATAATGTAAATACATGTACTGTTCGGCATATTTCATTCCATTCAGTCGTTGTTTATATTATTATCTACACACATTCACTTTTAACGCAAAGAAATACCTATCAACCTCGGCCCCGTATTCATTATTCCAGAGTACACGGAGCCGATATATAACGTCGGAGTTATTTTGAGTTACAGGTCACTTATGTTATTTGTACAGCCATGCCGTTGTTGTATTGGGTTCTCTCGGTGTTACAATGGAGGTAAAAAAGAGACTTTTCTACCTCCATTGTACATTAGGACGTTGACCTAAACACAGTCCCTCAACAAGGCGTTGAGGGACTGTGCTTAACGTATAATAAAACCTGCTACATAATAAATTCTAAAGGGGTTAAAAAGACTGTAATAAATAGATCCTTGTTTGCAGACTTGAGTCTAATTTTGCGGGTGAGTTACGGGACAAATCATTGGTCAGTAATACTTGCGGGTGAGTTACGGGACAAATCATTGGTCAGTAGTACTTGTGAAATATATCAAGTGTAGGTACAATCAACATCTTTCTTTTCAAATCACGCCACACCTGCTAAAAATTACCGGGGTATCCACAAGGGTTAACCTGACCTCCTTTTCAGATAACGCCCCTTTCTTGAATGTTTCCAAAATTGAAATGATCATTCTGACTGAATTTAGCACCTTGTCGCCGGCACTCCCAGCCATTTTAGTGTTTTTAAGTTCTTAATAACCATTTGTTTTGTTTTTTGTTCTTTTTTACTGCTTTGTTTTTCTTTCTTTTACGATCCTTTCGTTAGTGAGTGCGCCAACTGAATCGACTACGTTACGTTATTTTAGTGTTGACCTATTGACCTTTTAAAAAATGTCTACGTACTATGTGATTTAAACAGCCCCCACCCAAAAAAAATACACACACACACGCGCGCAGATGTCAATCCCCCTCCTCAACTGAATCGTTGAGAACTGTTATCAACCGTAGTGTACGGTAATTCCCGCACACATATTGCTGGAAAGTAACCGGCATGACGCGATGAGAACAAGTTGTCCTTGTTTGCGTTATGGTGTCCGTATAAGCGGTAAAACAACAATCGCTGAGCAAGTAACGCTAAAGCACAGTCCCACAAGGAACTTTGGCTAAAGGCAGACCCTAAACGATCCCGTAGAAAAGTGTTAGCACTCACCTGCTTCTCAGGCGCATCTTTTTCGGTCTGTGGTTCCAACCCCATAGTTGCACGTTAGTATTATAATTCCCAACTAAACAAGTAGTGTCACGTCACTTCTCGTGTGCGCGTCGAAACGAAGGCCTTGGTGTGTCTTTTGGACAATGGAAAGTGTGCTTTGGAAGAGGTGTTTATTTTTTTCACAATTGAATACCGCTGGGAGAGTTCATTTTACAGCGTTGAGAACCTATGTAAGCAAAGCCTCCCTGAGGGACTGTGGTACAACACGGTCGAAACATTCGAAAATGCCACGTGTGATTGCAATGTGAAAGATGACCAGTGTATATACACGTAATGCAGTTTCCTTGTCAGCTTCATTCGTTCAAAAATACTATATTATACTATGTCGTTCTTTACAAACAAGCGTCCACGCCTATATTGCGACCCGAGGCTGTAACACTGAAACTTTCGAACCAGGTACATTTCAGAGTTTTTAGCGGGGAATTACGATTAGTAACACATTACCAGACATTCACTAGCTGTGGTGTTGACCTGTCAAGTAATTGGTTGTCATTGAATTTCCATGTCAGAAACATTCAGAATAAAAAAAGAAGATACACTAGTATAAAAAAAATAAACTAAACAAAACTAAAACAACAAATTTGCCCGAAAGTGGGTTAGAAATGCAAATTAATAAAGTAAATGTTAAGATTACTTTTTTAGATATCTGTGAGGCAGCTGTTTGTTTTTGGTTTTTTTAATTTGCTTTCTCTTATGTTGAAACATTCGAATATGTATTTCGCTAGACATTTTAGCATGGCAGTATTCTTTGTGCCTAGTATGTTGATAAAGCTTGTATCAGTGTTGCCCTCAGAACACTGTATAATTGTGTTGAGAAGGATCTGTCTTTCACGTTTGTATAACTGACATTTTAACAGAAAGTGCTCTTCATCTTCAATATCATTTGTATTGCATACAGGACAGCTTCTTTCGGTAATATTAATTTTATGGTATCTGCCCATTTCAATTTGTAAAACATGTGCGCTTAATCTTAGTTTGGTCATTGATGATCTGTGTAGTGGGTTATTTAGCCAGTGTATGATTAATTAAGTGATTCAGATTGTTAAGAAATCATCTAAATTTCAAGGAGGTTAGCATGGACTGCACAAATTACAATATTATTTCCGTCTTATTACTGCCGAACGAGTATATATTAATTTAAACATACTATATTTTCAAAGATCGAGTAGCTTTCTATTGACAATCAGAATCCAGCCAATCAGCGTCAAATTGCATCAGTTGCGAGGGACAACCTGGTTGTCATAGAAGAAGCCCTAACTGTTACTACCGCAATTATTCCTCAGCTCGTGAGAGCGAGGTTATTTGTAGTTATGTTGGCAATCGCCACTGTGTATTCGGAAGTACTATGGGAGATTGCATGATGGGAGTGAACAGTCTTTTGATCAGTAAAATAATTTTTGAAAAGTGAAAACTAAAGTGACTGTGAAATAAAGGTTGGTTTTAAATATTAAATATCATGAAATGTGGATGTAATAATGAAAGGAAATTGAACTGGTATGAAAGGGCAGTAAATGTAACCAGAATGCAAGGTCAGAATCCGGGGTCAAAATAGTCTGGTTCCCTGCCTAGTCTGGTTCCCTGCCCAAGTTTTCACCGCTGAGGGCTCAAAGAAAAACAAGGTCAGGTACGGGCCGACATCTTGGTCAGATTTCTGGCCAAAATGGATGACAGTCACATGATGGTCACATGGTTACTTCGCAACAAACAAAATGGCTGCCTCCACTGTGACATGTACGCCGGTCAAGATAAGTAATTCATCTCAAGCGTGTTTTGTTTGTAGTACAGTGGGGACACGAACAAAAAAAATCCACGAAGGTACCGGGAAACATAACTTGAAGTTGTTGTTGTCGAAATATGGCGAAGTAGAGGCGATTGAGGGTTTGATTTGTAGGAATTGTGAACGCCATTTGTTGACACTAGATCGTCAGGTCACAGTCCCTCTATCACGTGATAGAGGGACTGTGGTCAGGCATGGAACTATAAACCCGGGGTTTATAGTTCCATGGGTCAGGTGAATGAATTTCGAGAGAAATGCCAAACTTCGAGCAGACTAAATTCGAATGTGAAGCGATGTGCGAGATCTCCATTGGTTGCTGAAGGAAAAAGCTTTAAGAAACACTCCAATTTGTCAAGTTGTAAGATCACCGAATTCACTGACAGTGTTGAAATAAGATGTGCAGAAGAATGTCCAACTCCATGTTTGTTTACATTTACGGGGAGCGTGACATAAACTGTCGTCTTCACGGCAACAAAACAGCAGGTGGCCTGGTTGCGTCAGATTTCTTGAACGCGCTCGTAGTTTGTTTTAAAATTGGGTCAAGTCTCAGACTAGTACGAAACCTTTACTCTAATCTCGGGAAAACGATATATTTATTCAGTTACCGGTGATACACACTTCGAACCCAGTTTTAAAACGTTGAAAAATTATTCAAACAAATCGACCACTTCGGAAACATATTTTCTATATTTATTCAATCAATTGGCCCACCCCCAAAAATATTTATTTTTACATGGCCGAATTGATTGAGTTTTTACGGGACAATGTAATCCCAGGGGACACTTAATTATAATAACTTATTTTGGTGAATATTTGTTCATCCAAACAATTCATATTTCTCTTTTCAAAAGAATTTGATTTTATATATAAATGGTCAGCACATTTTGTGTGGCAAAACCCCATCACAAAATATGGGTTCCAGGTCTTCAAGCGAGTCAGATTCCAGGGTTTTAGTGGTCCTATGCTATGTTATGCCACCATAAATAGTCTTTAACCCCTATGCTTATCTGATATCACATATTTAGTGTAATGTTTATAATGGCACTAAATTTCCTCTATGATATACTCGACCTCAGAAAATAAATTTACAAGTAATTTGTGTACCATATGTGTATTTGCTACATTAGAAGCGCACCTAAACCAAAATTTGAATTGTTTGTATACTGTAGTGTTAGAGTATCAATTATTTTTGCCAGACAGACCTTGACATGTAGTTAAGAGCATGCGCTTCTAATGTAACAAATACAGTACATCTAAGTATGAGTGAGTGGTCATGTTCACTGGATTTATAAATTAGAAACTGCAACATTTATGCGCATCACAGCCATAGAGTGCCATGTAAAAATCAAAATGTTATTGGCCCAAATGACACTAATGCTGTGACATTGATTTAAATGCATCAGCAATTTTACAAATGTGGGCTTCATAGTGTGACAATTTCCAGGGTTACATCTTTCCACCACTGTGAATATTACATATGCAAGTAAGACAGCACAATGTTTTTTTTAAGTTAAAGATAATCATTTATTATATACATGTTTCACTGCAAGTTTGGTACATACCACATAAAATATTTGTAAATAAACATCCCTGTCTCATCAATTTAGTAATTGTGTCATTGGTATTTTTCGACCCAAAGAAAGCTTCAAAAGGGCTCCCACATATTGTGAACAATCGTATTGGACAGACATCAAGAAATGTGTGCAGAGTTGCATGAACCTAATTGCACATTGCACAAGAGTTGTTACAAGAGTGAGGTTGACTTGATTGCATTAACAAACAAGTCATGCACAGCACAGTCCTTGTGAATTACCAACTTGTATGCTGTGTATCAGCACTTAGATATGCATATGTATAGAAATTAATTGCTGCAGGCTGGCATATCCAAATTATATATACATTTGTAAAACAAGCAGTCTATCGGTTGATACAGCTCTGCTGTATTGTGAAATGTACCAGCTTAACACATTTGAAATATAGCTGCAAGCAGCGATCAACTAGTTTCGTACCTATGGCAGCATTGGTACAGGGCTGTAATACACCAAATTTAGTTCAAGGGGTCTTGAAAAAAACTATATCACACCACCCTCTTCTCCCCCTCCAAATATAAGTCCCTTTAAAAACTTTAAAACATTCGATTGGGACTCTTACTCATCACACCAATTTTGGTTCAAATCGGTCACATGGCCTTGGAGTTAAATGAATTCATACCCCCCCCCCCCAAAAAAAAAAAAAAAAAACTGCTATTAGGACACCCGCAGGGGTACTCTTTGTCATCACACCAAATTTGGTCCAAATCGGTCAAGGGGTTTTGGAGTAAAACGCAAATATATAAAAATCACACACCCCCTCCCCTCAAAATTGACCCTCTCAGAAAAGTAACACCATTATAACATTCACTAGGAGACTCTTTGTCACAACACCAAAATTGGTCAAGGAGTCTTGGAGTAAAATGCAAACGGTTAATGAGTGAGGGCGCTTGATTTATGAAAGGGGTCTATGTGCCATGAATTTATTGCTGTGAATCCTGTGCATCCAGGATATCAAATGGTCTAGCCCTAATCTAAATTGCAGTTGAGAGCAAGCATACAAATTGATATATATATATATATAGGACTTCAAGACACACAGATTCAAAACTTAGGTGAAATATATTGTCAAAGTAAGGTGTATCGCTGAAAACTGAGGGGGATTATGAACACTAAGGCACAGCGCTTAATTGATGTGTGTGATAAAATGTATCATACAAACACACATTTTTTTTCATGAACTAGAAATCATTGTCAAAGAGTATTGGACATCCAGTTGAAAACAGTATTGTTTTATCAATGTATTGCATGCCATTGTTTGAGCTCCCAATCAGTATATACATTGACAATATATAGAGTATCACTACATGCTAACAATAAGTGAGTTGCCATATTAAGGATAAATTAGTCTTTGGTCACTTTATTGAATATACGTAACAGTACTCCATCAACACATCCAACAAAGTGATCAACTTTCAGAATTTATCCTTATTTTTACAGCATGAAACCCTGCTCTAACAAAATGTCTCACTATTGTTTTGAATATGCATGTCTTGAAGCACCCATATTTACATATATATTAATTTGTATGCTTTCAACTGGAAGCAAACACATGAGCAAATAACATTTCCCCTCAGTTTCCAGTGAAAATTTGAGGTACATAACTATAAAGATTCTCCTCTTTCTACACTTGCAAAATAAGAGAAATTATATTATCAACATATTGATCCTCCAAATAAAAATCAGAAATCAAAAACTTGCGATTGGAGTATCTTGTATATTTTGAAGATATCTTCTCCGCTAAAGATGGTGTCCATCCTGTGACAACTGAAGGAGAAGGTGCATTACAGATGTTATTTTCAGCTTCAAAATACTGTAATAACACATCACATATTACCTGTGCTTTGTGATCATCAAAATCACTTTCATCAGCATCTGACTGTACATCAGATTCTGCTCCTGATGGCTGCTAACAGCCATCAGTTTCAGCTGGCTGCTAACAGCCCGCAACAATAGGATCTGATGTACAGCCTGATGATAATGAAACTGAGAATCACAGATGGTACAGTCACACAATAGCTTGCAATTGTCACAGCACTGATGTTTAATGATATAGTCCTTGGGAAATTCCTGACCAAAATGTGAGGCTAGTGACACTCTACGACATTCATCTGTTGTACAGTATTTCCTCATTTCCTCAGTCATGCCTTTCACATTGTGTGCTATGTCAGATGCGTTGTAGTACAAAATAGCCTCAGATTCTTCCCCATCTCTCCCACATCTGCCAACTTCCTGAATGTATGCTAATGAACAAATGAGAATTGTATTTAACATTTAAGTAGCTTCACTACAAGTTACAAAAAATAAGTGCAATATGGTACTGGAATGTATTTGCTGTATTACTAGAGCATATGCATAGGTAAATGACATGGTAATATATCTCTATACAGTACAGGAAAAGTTTAGTTTATTGTACACTTCTATGAAGATGCACTTCTCATATTGAGCAAATCCGTATTTTCATGAGTTCTCTTGGGTGACTGACATCAATTGTTATATCCATTCTATGATGTAACCTGTGGCATTTCATCATAAAATAACTTTCCTAGCCATCATCGTCATCCAATAACTACACTCATGACAGGATTACAGGATTATTGGGACTTCAGATTCTCTTGAACCAACCAATTGCTTGTGGTCATTAAATAATCAAAACAAATAAAACATTCAAAATGTTGGCAACACTTACAAGCAGTATAATAATAAGATCATGCACACAATAAAGGAACTTGGTTTTACACATTGTATGTCAAATATGTACAATGCGCTCTGAAAATTCATGAATTTTGTGCGTAACATTGCATTACTACATTTAGACTGAACTACATGCATTTTAACATACTTTCCATTGTTCTTGGTACACCGGCATGGATAATTCGCCTGACTTGTTTTGGATCTGCACCCATCCCATATGCCTCAGTTGCAAATAACAATCTGATACCACAATTCATGGTCTGCATGCCATCGATCACCTCTTTCTTCATCTGCTTAATGATAAAAGTATGATATATAAATTGTCAATATGCAAGTTGATATGAAATAGCTTTAATGGCTCAAGTTAATTGTTGTGGCAAAGGTAATGTAACAGAATATCATATGATAGTTAAATGACAGAGGTGCATTTATAGTAAAAAAAATGCACAAATTATTATATACAGAACAGTATACAACAAATTTTGATGGCTTATCTGTTCTTGTGTTGGAGATAAACATCTAATATAGCAAATACAGTTAAAGGGGCACAGTCGCTATATCTTTTATACAAATTTGGCTTAAGTGTAAAGTGAACTGCATTCACCAATTTGATAAAGAACACACACTTATCACGTGTCTGATCTTTCAGTGTGTCATTTGATGAGGCAACAGCCACATTGTTTACCTAAATGTTATAGACAAAGCTGCTTATAAACCCGGAACAAATGATTTATATATATAACAATTAACAAATAAATATTCACTTTATTTTTTTATTGGTAAAACCATCAGAGGACCAATTTGTTATTAACTATACAACAACAAAAATAACATACCATACCATACAGAATATGGAAAAAAATTGTTAAACAGTAGAAGTCATATCCAAGTTAGTATTTATAGTTAACAAAATAACTTAAATTTACCTTGTTAGTGCATGAGGCATGGAATTGAGCCACCAGACCAGATATATCATCTATATCACTGTCAAAAGTTGGCATTAAGGACAATTCGTGAGCAAATCCACACCATTTAAGTGATGAGTAAACAATTGTTCGTGGAAAACATTCCTGTTTACTGCGCAATTCATCAATAAGTGGTTTGAAGATCTCCTTAAAAGACTCTTCAATTCTGTTGTTTGGAAGTCTTTTTGTCACATGGAACATTATGTTTGGTCTATCTATGCTGGCAGCGATAATAACAGGATTGGTAAGCAGAAGATGTGATGATATTTCTTGCTGTGTTCTTTTCGTACCGGTGGCCATAGGTCTTTCAGATTTCGATATTCCGGACGGAAATCACTTCCCCATTGTACTACACAGTGTGCTTCGTCAACAACAATATGAGATACCTTGTGTTGCCAAATGTCGCCACGAAATACGGCGAAGAGTTTCTTGGTCATTATGTGTTCTGGGTGAGACAGTATATACAAATACTCACAACTAATGAAACTGGACAAACTACAGTCAAACTCCGGATTTAACCGCACTGACCTTGAGCCGAGTCTACGAGACTGTTCTTCTATAATAGCATTCAATGGCGAGATCAAGATCACTGTCCTGGGACTGTGTGAAGCTGACATGTAGGGAAGGCACTCAAAAATCAGTGATTTTCCATAACCGGTAGGCAACAAGCCTATACAATCACTATCAGTGGATGCCTTCAAACAATCAACTTGCTTTGGTCTTAAATATGTGTAACATGAATGACTGTTTGCGTTTACATGTGCTAAAGCAATCTTTGTTTTCATAACAAACTCCATGTCCATGGAAGCCGCCATGTTGAATTGTCTCAGTGACGAATCAGATGTTCCGTACGTAACTACCAATAACCGCCTTGGATGTAATACCCCGTACCTGACCCTTTTCTAAAACCGCCCTCAGCGTTGAAATGGGGCAGGGAACCAGACTAGTTCCCTGCCCAAGTTTTCACCGCTGAGGGCTCAAAGAAAAACAAGGTCAGGTACGGGCCGACATCTTGGTCAGATTTCTGGCCAAAATGGATGACAGTCACATGATGGTCACATGGTTACTTCGCAACAAACAAAATGGCTGCCTCCAGTGTGACATGTACGCCGGTCGAGATAAGTAATTCATCTCAAGCGTGTTTTGTTTGTAGTACAGTGGGGACACGAACAAAAAAAATCCACGAAGGTACCGGGAAACATAACTTGAAGTTGTTGTTGTCGAAATATGGCGAAGTAGAGGTGACTGAGGGTTTGATTTGTAGGAATTGTGAACGCCATTTGTTGACACTAGATCGTCAGGTGAATGAATTTCGAGAGAAATGCCAAACTTCGAGCAGACTAAATTCGAATGTGAAGCGATGTGCGAGATCTCCATTGGTTGCTGAAGGAAAAAGCTTTAAGAAACACTCCAATTTGTCAAGTTGTAAGATCACCGAAATCACTGACAGTGTTGAAATAAGATGTGCAGAAAAATGTCCAACTCCATGTTTGTTTACATTTACGGGGAGCGTGACATAAAACTGTCGTCTTCACGGCAACAAAACAGCAGGTGGCCTGGTTGCGTCAGATTTCTTGAACGCGCTCGTAGTTTGTTTTAAAATTGGGTCAAGTCTCAGACTAGTACGAAACCTTTACTCTAATCTCGGGAAAACGATATATTTATTCAGTTACCGGTGATACACACTTCGAACCCAGTTTTAAAACGTTGAAAAATTATTCAAACAAATCGACCACTTCGGAAACATATTTTCTATATTTATTCAATCAATTGGCCCACCCCCAAAAATATTTATTTTTACATGGCCGAATTGATTGAGTTTTTACGGTACAATGTAATTCCCAGGGGACACTTAATTATAATAACTTATTTTGTGA